ATTGTTTCAATAAGTGTCACTAAAAGAGCTAAATAAATTGGTGTATTTAATGGAATTAAATGGGCAATTATATTTTTTGTGTTTTTACATGTTGAAAAAATAATATAAAATAATCAGAAAGGTAAATCTAAAGTAACTGAAAAAATTATGTGACTTGAAGATGAAAAAATATATGGAAATAAACTAAAAAAAATATTTAGTAAATTAAATATAAAGAGTGCAATAAATAAAAATGCAGGTGATTTAGTTTTTTTTGTTTTATATAATATTAATATTTCATTATTTAATATATTTTTTATTACATATAATTTATTTGATTTGGTATAATTCATAAAACATTTGGTATTAATAAAATAATTAAAAAAGTTCTAATTCAATTTAATTCTAAATTAATAATTGTTGTTGATGGGTCAAAAATATTAAATACATTTCTAATAATTTTTCATATTGTTTTTGTATGAAACTTTTATTTTAATATTTTAAATAAAGTTGAAGTATAATAAATTTATAATTAAATAAAATATATAAAAAAAAATAAAATAAAATTAGTCAATTAACTGGTGCTATTTGAGGAATTAAGTGATATTAATAAATAATTTTGATTTGACAAATTAATGTTATAATTTTAACTAATCTCTTTCATTAGAAGTAATTGTTAATTTACTATATTTTGATTTAAGAAATCATTACTTTGCTTTTCAGTCATCTAATGAATTAAAAATTTTTAATTCAATAAATAAATAAAAAAAAATTAATTGATTCAATTTGAATTGGTATAAATCTATGATTAATACCACAAATTTCTGAACATTGTCCAAAATATATACCAGGGCGATTTATAAAAAGATTAATTTGATTTATTCATCTGTTCTCTAATGAAAGCTCCTTGTCACACATTTTCTTACACTTTTACTTCTGCATTTTATGTATGTTTCAGATTGAACTTCTAGTACCACAACTATGGAGTTGTATACTTATATATGTAAATATGTTAGGATGGCTAGTGTAGAACGACATGTTAACTTTTGAATGAAATCTTTCACAAATGTTGGTAGTAGTCAAATATTTGGGTTGAATATATATGTGAATATATAATATATATATACATATATATGCATAGCGTCCTGTGAAATATAGTTTTCATAAATGTTGTCTGTAAATTTCACAATCTGGTCATTTTCAGCAGGCTCTTTTGCCAAAAAGTCATCAGTAAAGTACGTTTTAAGGATCCAAAAAATATTTTAAATAATGATTGTCGTTTGTGTTGTCATTATATTAGTTTAGTAATTTTGGATTTTCCTCCACTTTGCCCTAAATAAAATCGACATCCTCCTATTTGTGCATGAAAAACAACTTCCGATACAGCACTATGTACCTATTGATTGTTCAAAATCTATAAAAAGAATTTCAGTAGGAGAGTACGATAAGCCAACGGATATAGAGATAGAGTGACGAATTACATATTGAAATGCACAAGTGTACGTAGGTACCTAGTTTTTAACTTGTTGGGTATTAAAAAAAACACATGAGGTAAATAAATATAATTTTTAAGGCCATGAATTGTAAAAAGTTATGTCAAGTTCTTTGGACAGCTTATGAACTTCTCATTGACGTATATTTTCCCTACGTCACATAGCACTTTTATATTTTGTTGCGTGGAAATCTAACTATCGAACTTACATTGTCGGGCATTCGTGTAGCAGGTGATCTACTGCAATAGAGTGATCTGCTAATTTAGGACGAGTGATCTACGTAAAAAACTAAAAAAAATTTTTTAATTGCATAAAAACACATAATATTTTTTATTACGACTACCTACGTCATAATATTATCATACAAATATTCTTCAAATATATAAAAAAAAAATTTGCCAAATATAATACAAATTTAAATTACAGTAAACATTTTTAGTATCATTTATAAATTTTTAAAAAAGTATCTTGAACATTAACTGATCTCCACCATGCTTCAATCAGATGACGATGTAATAGGTTCTTTTGTACCTAGTTCATTGCATTTCGCGAAACTATCGTAAACAGACGTTCATATGTGTTAGATACAACAAACTACGACCACCCAATTATGATTTTTCTTGACAATTTTACATTTATAAAAATAAAAGTAAAACATAATATGCCCAATATTCTAAAAATTGCATTTCTTAAAATATGACTAAATATTATGCAAAAATATACAAATTCAAATTTAGTATTTAATTTCACTATTTCATAAAACAAATGTATATCTCTCCCAGAATAATATAATATAATAATAGGTAATAATAATTGTAGATCACCAACTACACCTAGTATAATACGATAGATCACCTGATACACCCAAAACGAGGTAGTAGATCATCTGCTACACGAATGCCCATTGTCGTTTACAAACAAAAGTTGTTCACCTATTTCGGTTTTAATTTTCATGGACCCTAAAGCAGCATGTAAATCTTCAATGCAGCTAGGCAGAGGGGGTGCACAGATAGACGGGCACGATGAATATTACGTCAAATTAATGATAAATCATTGTTAGTTAAATTTGGTATATTACCTTGTTCAAATACTGAGAGAATAAGTTTTGACAGTTTTAGAATGTATTCTAAAGCTTTTCTTTTCAGAGAATTACTCATTATTTGCCTGTTTAGGACTTTTTCATCTGACTTACTGTGTTTGTGATTGGTGTAAGTGGGTTATTCTCAACTTTTATATTTAATGGTGATTATTTAATAAAGCACATACAATTTTTTACACAGCAAGCCCCCCCGCTGTACATCATCTTGTAGTGTCTTACGAAAACAGAATTTGTGGCCTTCGTAGATAATAAGTGACTTTGACTTTTCACTAGGTATATACAAATTGCAGGATGAATGATATTCAAATATAGGTAAGTATTTCAACGATACAAATTTTTACAAATAAAGATTGGTTTCGGACTGAAAATGCATTGACAATTTTTAATTTGCCATTTGAAATTATCCGACTATTGTAATTAATCCAAGTAATACGGTAGATAATACAATAAAGCTATCTATGTTATCTTTATCACAATATATAAAAATATAACTTCCCATCATTAAACTCTATATGATAAGTTAAGTATCATAATATAGAGACATAGAGTTCAATTCTCCCCATACGTATCGAACATTTCGTTTAACGCGTTATTCATTAGTATATACAACACCGCAACTGCCAGGTTCATAGGTAATAGGTACATATAGGTACCTACATAAGTAATGATGGTTACCAGGTCCGCAACTCACCTACACATACAATAATGTCCTGCCCGAATTCACTGGTCTCCAACGCCGCAAACAAGTCGGGCCTCAACTGACCCACAGTCATAGCTAGATAATGACAATAAATATCCTCTTACCGTTATCCAGCCACCCGTCTTTATCTTTATAAATAATTGTAGATTGGGTGGGGAGGGAAAGTAGTTTCCTCCTAAATACGTCACTGATTATAGGAGAAAAATATATATAGTTTTATATTATAGGTAATAGACTAATAGGTATATTAATAATGTATGTCTAGTATCCTTATAAAATATTAGAGTATCTTATAATTTGAAACTTTTTTGAGGTGTCTTACCCATCTTGTACCTTTTATACAACAGAGAGTATATTTATTTTTGTTCGTGGATTTTTGACAAAAATATATTGTTAAGGCACCGGAGTAGGCAACATTTTATACAGTCATATAATTGTATCTGTCTACTAGAACCTTTTAAAAAAGAACGTTTGATGACGATTGAACATTTTATTTTTGAAACTCTTATGCCTTTTTACGATACCAGACTACCTATAGTACCCATACTTAGTCATTAACTAACGATTAAGTTCCAGTTAATCGTACACTATAGAAATAGAACTGTTGTGTAATGTGTTCAATGTTCACTGTTTAGTGTAGCTTAATATATTTTGAGCCGTAACAAATATATTATTTTGTGTCTGTTTTTTTATTGCCACCTGGTCGTCGAGAAAGAAGTTTGGTTCTTGTTATTGGATGATTCTTCCTGTGATACGTAATATTTGTTGAAAATCTATTTTAGGGATCGATCGGATAAAATAGAAAACCAGATAAAATTATATTTAAAAATGATGGTTAAAAAAAACTAAATACATGCCTGAGAAAATTAATTTGAGATGATCAAACGATAGAGCAATCGATTTCGTTAAATTACGGACCATAGTCCATATAATGAAGGAATAACTTGTCCATGGTACCAATAGCCTCCTAAGTACTTGGCAGGCAGCCTTTCCTAATGATTATATTATATTAATATTTTTAGACAACAAATTGTTGTGCCAATACCTATAACAGCTACGAGCCAGGAGCCAAATTCCCCGTCGCTGAAGGAAACTAACTTTATTCATTGTATGCATTATTTTCAAAATTACTTTACTCAATATGGTATATCGGGACGTATTCATATTTAAATAAAATAAAAATATGAAGTTATACGACCAGATTAAAAATGTACATGTGAATTTGAAAAATGCGTTGATAGACAATGGACATTAAATACAAAAACATTTGAATATATTTTATAATAGTTATAGGTAAATAATATTATAATATATCGTTAATTGTTGCATATACGATATACATTACATTTGACATAAATTACGATGACGTGCCACTGAAGTGCTATTTTTAAATACGTTCAACGTATTAACTATTTTGAAATATAATTACATATATTATGTGTATGTGACTTAGTGCAAAATTTGTCGACACTCAACAAGTATTATTTTTTTTCAAAAACAACATTAGTTACTGTTTATTCAAATCAACATGGCCAATTGTACATCTGAATTTGGTCATCTTTTCAAGATACATTAGCATATCTACCAACTACCTAGATATAGGTACTTAAAACAATAAAACTATTAAATATAGCCACAGAATAATATAGTTGGTAATTGGTTAAATGGTATATAATTATATAATATACGGCTTGTCTAATAGTAAAAATAATAAATAATAACAAAAAAGTAATACATACATCTTTATGTACTTTTTCAAAATACAATATGATTTAAGTCGAATGATATTGTGTACCTACTAAAGATGTGTAGAGGTACTTTAATACTAGTATACGAATGCAATCGTTTTTATACATAGATTTGAATAGAGCGTGTAAACTATACGTGGTAGGTATTAAAAAAAATAATAAAAATATTATATGTTGTAAGTTACATACAATGGCTCATGTATAAGTACAGGTAATCGTTTTTGTTATCATTTTTTTCCAAATGATTGGTTCATCGTGCGATATTATGTCGCGACGGGATCATCAACACCACCACCACCAATTCGATGACGATGACGGGGGTGACCACCAAAACGATGGTGGAGGTGACGACCACCAAGAGGTCTGTGATGGTGGAAGTGGCTGTGGCATCATTAATTCTGTCCAAGGAGACGCTGACAACGTCCGTTGTCCAGATGGCGCTGGAGCGGACGACGAAGCAGTGGTGGCGGACGAAGACGACTTGATGAACGCGTTCATTTTATTCTACAACATATCGTACAATATTTTTCGGTAAAAAGTGTTGAAAGAACACGATTATTATCTTTATTGCTACGTATATAATATTATGATGTATTGTGTCTCAATACACGTGATTTATTGGACTATAGGAGCTTTGCTGTATCTAGTATACTTTATTTTCAGCATTTTACCCAAACCCAGATACCTAGATACATAGACCCACATTACCAAACAACTAATTTACACTTTTTAACCATGTACCTACTTTTTCGACAATTTATAATCACCCATAAATCATCCTACATACTTATTTAGTAAGTTTAATTATGGCCATGTATATAGAAATGGTCGATGGACCGTATTTAGACACTTTTTTCTTTGGTGTATCTAGTATTTTTTTAAAATATTTATGCGTTAAGAGTGTTAAGATAGGTACAAGATATGGAGATACATTTTTCACTTTTTATATTATCATTTTAACTTAGGTATGTAAAATCTGTAATATAATATGCATAGTAAACAAATTTTCTGACAGTTCCTATGTTTTTTTGTTTTTTCACATTAGAATGTGAGGAGGAAAGTTGTCTAGTAACAGGATTCTTAATGAAGACAATTTAAGTGTTGGTGTTAAGAAGATAACTATATCAATACATTAGTGTTTTTTGAATCGATGGGTGCCATTTTTGAACTTAATATGAATATTAATTTAATCAAATAAGTTTTCATCTCACATTATTTTCATATATTTGATCGAGTAAATCACAAACTAATAGTACATTACTTTAAATTTAATTACACTTTGCCGTGTTCGTATAATACAAAAAATAATTTTTGAATTTGTAACAAACAAAAAAAACAATATTAATATTGAGAGGTGAACTCAGAGGTGTGTGTGAGTGTGTGTATGTGTGTATGCTGTATTGTGTTATATAATATACCAAATTTACCTAGGTTATTGTTTTCATGAGTTTCTGACCAGGATATTATTATCAATTGTCTATCCTCTATTCCTCTAATCTTCTATAACTATATTTTGTTAACAGAAATTATTACGAAGTATATTTCACCTTTAAAAATTTTATCAAGAGAATAATTAAAAAAAAATTATATTTGGTATCTTTTTGCAAAATATGATGAATGTATTTTGTACCTTGTATTTAGAGGTGCAAATTGATGTGTCTATATACTTTTTTCAAGTATCTTGTTCATCCCCGAGCACTGGAAAGTGTGTTCAAAATTATCGACGATGATTTTAGTATAGACTATTTATGTGATTTTTAGTGCGTATATAAATTGAGTAAAAGCATAACTATTATAAATAATAAAATATACTAAAATGTATGTTTTGTGGATAGCAATGTACGCCCACATTCGTACAGAAATTATTTAAAGTGTGGTTTTAAATTAAATTTGTATAACACACAACATATACGTACTTACTTCTATATATTATGTATAGGTACATGTGTATGTAGACGATCAGTACTTACCATAAAGGCATCCTTGATGGCTGTTAAAAGTCCACACTTTTTGCACCACATTGGTCTCTGCTCCTGAAAAATCACCAAATATGTAAAGTTATATGAATAGTAACACCACAGTGGTGCCATTATCACCTCAATACTCGTATATTATTATCCACATGATAATAAATGTTTTATTATTTTTTATTTTATCAAAAATTCATAACTAAATACAATTCAATATGTTCATATTTTTTGTAAATTATTTGAATTGACTATTTGAGACAACAATATAATTAGGTAATTAACATACCTAATAATTGTACTTACATTCTTACATTTCAATGATTATTATACTCTATGTCTCTGTTGATATTAATATTTGTATCGATAGTAAAAAGTAAATTTTGTACTACGTAGAGTTAATATTTCATCCCCCCTCTACCCACTCTTACAAGTCATTATCTATTGAAGTGTAATCAAAACTACGTTTACAAAAAAAAATTAACGAACAAAGATATACCTTTATTACAGTTTTTACGTACGGCATGCCTTTGATGGTAACAGTGCACGGTGTGATGTTGATTGTGGTGTACATGTATTATGCCATTATTAACTACTGTTCTCTGTCACATTTTCTTTGCAGTGATAAATAATAATTGATCATAAGTCATAATTTCGTAGGTAGTCATGGGAAAAAGGACTTAAAATAGTGATCGAGGAATGAAACGTAAAAATACGTGCGAACATAAAATAAAATACTAATACGGTTTCCATAATATACACACTATAATGATAATTATTATTATGCACTATAACACGACAATTGGCGATAAGGATTTTGTTAAATAATACATTTTAACAAAAAACATTTTTTTTTTAAATTAGTCCTTATCACCATGTCGTGTTTTAATTCCGGTCTTATAATGTTATGTACAATAAACTAAATTATATAATAATATTAAAATTGTCTAAGACTACGATTATTATTATCACTGGTCTATTTGTAATACAAAAAATATATTTATATTCAATATTATACACCGCTACCTTTATACTAATCTAGACTTCGATGTACATATGTGTGGATTACTACAATTTTACTACTCTACTAACTAACCACTATAATAAACTAATTCGATCGTAAAAAAAAAAACATAATGCGATGATGTTTAAATGTATATGATATGTGACAATGATAATAATATGGCGCTTTCTTCGTATATACACACATGCATATTGTTTAAAAGGTACATGTGTGTACACAAATAAGTTTATGTGAGCTAGATTAAACTACTTAATTTATAAACCTATATATATATATTATATATATATTTATTATAATAAAATATTATAATTATTATACTTGTAATAACTTAATATAATAATATATAATATTAATATGACGTACGGATGGAAGGTAAAACACAGACGCCGACGACGAAAGACTAGAAATATCCTTGGTGGAGTTTTCTCAATTTATTCACGAAAACAGTGATCAACTGTTAGGGCTATGATGAAGGGGACTCGACAGACATTTTTTGTAGAAAAACATGAAATTGTAAGAAATAAAAATCAAAAACGTACTAGTTAAAAATTCTATTTTCACCATTTGAACAATTACGAATTAATTGATATTATGTTTCCCAATGCTCAATATTATATTGTTTGTTTACATATTATAATATATTATGCTATGATTCTCACGAAAACACTTTTTAATTATATTTTTGTTTTTTAAATTGCATGTTATTGTACAGAGGAGAAGGACTATGCATATTACGTGAAAATAAGCAAACCAATACGTACACGTACGGCGTTCACTCCCAAAAACATATTAACCAGCTTCTGTAATTTGTAACGAGTTTGAAAACATTTGTATAATTTATGCATCAATATTACGTAATATGATGGGAGAAAGAGAGAGAGAGAAAGAAAGATGAAGAACGGTGAGTGGAACGAGCGTGACTATGATATTTTTAGTATCGAATATATCGTCGTGGTCGTCGTCCGTAGTTGACCTATCCGTACATTAATTTATAATTTTATAATACATGTTACATATATACGTCAATCGTCATGTAAACGGTGATTATTATGACGTAAACGTCGGATGCCGCTTATTGGTCGATCGGTCGGTTAGACAATATATATATCATATATACATACATACAGAGTGAGCTTTAGCTGGTGTTGGTGCTTTATTACTATTTTACTAGGTACTATATAATGAGTGTACACTACTCCCGCCGCCGTTACCGCTGCCACTAGTGATTTACAACCACAACCGGCGACGCAGGTCTCTGGGTCGGTCGTTCAACAGTTGTGTATACGTGACATCTTGCTCGTTAGTGTCTGCTGTTGAAGCGAATGGTCGACGGAAAAAGCCTCCAATCTGACGCCTTCTTACCGGGGTGGCAGAAGCCGGAGAACCTCCATTTCCACCAGGTCCACCGCTGCTGGAACCACTGCTCGATCCTAGGAAACCCAGAATGTCAGAACCACCGCCGGCACCACCGTTGGTACCGTCGCCACCATCACCACCGGCTCCACCCTATAGTAATCACAAAATTAAATACTTATAGTTCATATAGCTATATATACCTTGATTATATAATATTATATATTAAGTTCTATATTATATTTCAGTACAGTTACGTACCATCAAACCACTGCAGCACAATAGTATTAATATTTAAAAATGTGGGAGGGTACTTTAATTATTTCAACTAATTTATTAATAACTAAGTTAAAAAATTAATTTGAGCTCAGTCACAACAAAAAGTAATGAAAGCAAGCAAACTTCACGATATAATATTATCGTCGCTGTCTCTGTCTATACACGATATATTAGTATTTTACTTGCCACAGCCGTTGAGGTAGACGATGATGAAGATGCGGAGGCAGACGCAGATGCAGCACCAGCAGAAGATTGTGACAGGACGGTCGCAAGCAAATTGGCTAATATCGGACTTTTAGCTACCGAATTCAGTGAAATGGAAGACTTCACTGCATTTGCAGAATTAGTGCCTTTTTCTCCAGGTCTCCTAGTTGCTACCATCTTAGTGGTATTTTTAACCGACCCAGAATCCGATCCCCCACTTGATGAACCGGACAAAGGAGCAACTAAATTTAAGATAGATCCCGAATCCGATCCCCCGTTACCATTTCCTGTTTCTGTTGCGTCACCACCACTTGAAGAACCAGATAACGGTCCAATGAGTTTTAATATAGATCCAGAATCCGAACCTCCACTGCCATTTTCTGTTTCCGCGCTGTCACTACCACTACTACCGCCACTCGATGAACCAGACAGTGGTCCGATTAGTTTTAAAATAGATCCAGAATCGAATTCACCGCTACTCCCTTCGCCACCACTAGATGACCCGGATAATGGAGCAACTAAATTTATAATAGATCCTGAATCCGATCCTCCGCCTCCATTATCTTCGTTTGTACCACTACTTCCACCACTTAGTGACCCAGATAATGGCCCTACCAAATTCAATATGGAACCAGAATCCGAACCCTTTCCTCCCTCACCACCACCACTAAGAGACCCTAACAGTGGCCCGACTAGCTCTACTATAGATCCAGAGTTTGACGACCCTCCACTGCCACCATCACTATTCTTCTCTTCATCACCACCACTGCCCTCCTGCTCATTATCGCTACCAGCATCACTATTTCTACCACCACTCGATGTTCTGGAAAGGGGTCCAACCAAATTCAATATGGATCCAGAATCTGAACCACTTCCACCACCCCCACCACTTGATGAACCTAAAAGGGGACCAGCTATGTCAAGTATTGATCCGGAGTCTGAACTTCCCCCTTCTCCCTCACTTCCTCCACCCCCACCACTTAATGTTCCAGAAAGTGGTCCAGCTAATTCAAGTATTGATCCGGAATCTAACCCTCCAGCACCACCACCCCCATCACTTAATGAACCTAAAAGGGGACCAACTAATTCAATTATTGACCCAGAATTTGAACTCCCCCCTCCTCCCTCACCGTCATTACTTTCATTACTGCTGCTATCACCTGCTTCGCCTCCACTTATTTGTGCTTCTTCAGCCATCATCATTCCATCGTTATTTACAGTCCCATTTCCATTTGCCACCGTTGAAACCATAATTTCATTACTATCGTTGTCTTCATCCAATGATCCATCTACTTCGTTATCATAATCGTCAACGTCGCTTTTATCTTCCATATTCTTTGGAGTTGCCCTCTTGTCCCTTGTGATATATAACTGTGTCTTCAACGAATTCGTAAGACCGGCCCTTCTAACGTCTATGTCAATGGCATTGCTATCATCTAAGTAGTCAGTTGTGTTGTCCACTACGCCGTTATCATTTTCGTAACTTCCTCTAGGTCCTGAGTTTTTTTCTTCCTATACACACATGTGTGATAGGAAATACACAACAATTTTACACTTTATTGAACTTTTAGTGCAGTCGTGTTTATGTGTAAAATGGAAATACAAATCTAAAGTCTACTAATATGGTGATATTTGATACTTTTGGTGATAAACATATATAAAATATCATGCAACGACAACGATACGATGGTGAGACAGGATATTAGGACTGTGTTGGTAGTTGTGGTATCAATGCTTCAAGTCACTTCGGGCACAAGACGTGGTGGCGAAATATCGCTGCCGGCGAATTTGCATTACAACACTAGGTACTGTCTACTATACTGTACTTATTTTATTCTATTTATGTAGTACGCTAAGTACTTCAAACGCATCGATGACTGTATACTTTGGCGTGTCACTATAATTGTAATATGTCAAACAGGCACAACTTAAGTTTTGGTATAAACTAAATATAAAAATGAACAAATACTGCAATTACTAAACACTACTACTATTGCTATTACTGCTATTAATTTATAATCATAATAATAATATAGTGCTACTGCTGATGTGGTGTAATAGGTATCAACTAATCAACTAGATCGTTGTAAAACGAAAGTACATACCAAGTGTTGTATATTTTACTTCTAAAAATGAAAAGTACTTACGCTACTGCTGCCTATCAGTGGACCGATCAGTGACAATATGCTACTGGATCCTGAACCACCCGCTCCGGCGCCCTAAAGCACACATTGAAATATGTATATAATACTATGCAATTATTTCTTTATTTACGCAATAATAATATGCATAAATAAAAAATGTTAATACTTATTTATTGGTGAAAAATACTAACTGTATCGTCACTTGCGCCACCTGTTGATGGATCTCCACCCCCAACGCCCCCGCCGCCACCACTGGAGCCGCTGCTGCTACCCAGCAGACCGGACAACAGACTTAAGACATTAGAACCAGCAGGGCCTCCGGCACCTCCATTGCCATTCACATTGTCTCCGGCATCTCCACCATTACCCTACCAGCACATATTTACAAATAAATTGTATGTGTAAAAGTACAATTATAATATATGTATGTACATTTATTAAACTTCAAACATTTAAAACCTTCGTCGACCTTAAATTGTAAGTATTAACTATAAACGTTGCTTTACACAATCATGCACGCATAGTAGCTATTACATAATAATATAATATTATAGCCATCATCTTGTAAAATATACTAGAAACTTACACCACTACCGCTGCTGCTACCCAACAAGGGTCCCAAAAGAGACAGAATGCTGGAAAAGCTGCTACCACCAGTGGCTCCATTTGGACCAGCCAAGTCTGGACCGCTTCCGTCGGTTTTGCTGACGTCTCCAGTGCCAGATGCTGCTCCCGAAGATCCAGCGCTAACACTCTATACCAAATACGAACATAAAGAAACGGACATGAATTAATTGATACATATGTAGACATGTAGTGGATGAATAGTTTTCAAGTGATAAGGGGGAAGGGGTTGTGTATTATTTATTCAACTCACGCCACTGCTGCTTCCCACCAACGGGGCGACTAGATTTAGTACGGCTCCGCTGCCGCTACTTGCATCGGCCGGTGCCGAAGCTGGAGGTGCTCCTGCATCCAACTGTAACGTAATAATTGTATATTTTTATATTTTAAGTGTATACACACTACATATTGGCAAAATCACACTAAAGTTACATTTGAGGACATAAATACACAAAAATTGTTCATATTTAAAAATTGGGCAAGGTGTAATGATATTTATGTTGGTGGTTATAAAAGTCATGATTAAGAATATTACTGAAATTGAGGGCAAGCAATGTTCTGGGTCCAAGCAATGTACTAGGGCCAAACAATGTGCTGGAGCCAATAAGCAATGTTCAACAGTTCAGCCCTCAATGTGGAGGTGCCATATAAATATGAAAAAAAGACTATAGCTTAAATTATCATCATATTACATTAATATAATTGGTCGGAGGGGGCGGGATAAAACTTTTTTTCTCAATGATTTTAAAATTCTTCATTATATATTTTCAAAAATATTAGGTAGTTTTTGGCAGAGACTATAAACCCTCCTTAGTTGCGTCCGTGTGTCTATAATAATTGATTCAAGGCTTACCGTTCCACTGGATGATGATCCAGCCACAGTCCCGCTGCTGCTACCTAATAGCCGGGTGATAACTTCTAAAGCTCTAGTTTCACGGTGTAGTAGCTTCTGTGGTTCACCATTGAAGTTAGTCTATGAATAATTTGAGAATTAGTTAAAATAAATTAACTGTGTTATAAAATACATTGACGTATAAAATATAATATTAATTTCTGCAGACCCTGAGCTTAGAAAAATACAAATTCTACTTGAAAATAATGGTTTTAAAAAAAAAATCGTTTAACTTTCTCTCGGTTAAAATAGATCTATTAGAAATTATATGGATTGCAAATTAAACTCAGATTATTGTAACATTGAAAAATAATATTTTTGTAATCGCCAAGTAGACCTTCAAAAATAAATAATAATTAAATTATACTATTAACATTAAACATATAATTATGTATGAGAAATATGTAATAAATTGTCTTTGTATAACTGCATCCATAAATACTACAGTCATAAAGAGTGTAGGCACTAGGCTGTTAAGTATTTTCATTGTATGCATAGTTTTTTTTTTAGTGGAAACCCATCTATAAAATGATATTTAAAAAATTGTGTAACACATTTCTTTATTTAACTTTACTCAGATTAACTTAACTGAGTTACTTAGGAAACTTTGCTAATGAAAATTTAAAATGTCTTAATTACTAAATTGTATCTAAGTTTATAATTTTACAATCAAAGTTTTCAGAAAAATAAGAACTACCTAAATCCATTCAAAAATTTGCCTGTACAACCAAGTGCTTAATACATATTAAATCGTCATAACAAATTAATAAAACTCGAGTACAACGATATAATAGATACAAAATATATATGTAAAAATATACGAGTAAACAGAAATAATATACTACATTTTATTTTAAATCAGAAAAAAATAATTCTAATGACTATTATTCAATTAAGTAATTCTAAATAATTTTCAAATACGTGAAGTTTCAATATTTATCTGAATAAAATATGTACGAATAGTCTTTTTTCATTAATACCATATTATATTATGTTTATTTAACCTTATTCTTCAATCTAATCAAAAAATCAAAAAATCAGAGAATTGTTTTAGTTAAATTACCTACCATATTTGTAATTATATTAATTATTTTATTTAAATGTGTTTATGTCAGCGACCAGTCACTTTTATATAAAAACATTTAAACTGATATAACATTCTATAGTTAATTGATATCTGATCAGAATTATTTTATAAACTAGTCGATTTATTATTTTGCTTTCAAATTTAAAACAATCGTACAACACTGGTTTAGGTCTGTGCAAAAGTGAGCGATGCGAGACGAGTATCCACTTTCAGTCTCTGCGTACATTAAATCATTTTTTTATATTATGTATAGTGTATAATATTGGGTGGAAATACGTGTTGGTTTGCTAACAAACGGGTTATGACTGTAATCATTTTTATTGAATTTTAACTCGTTTAAGAACGTGAACCATTATTCCGTTCTTTTTACGTATTCACTGCACATTGGTGTTCAACATGATATTTTTAATTAAAATGCACTGTCGACTTAGTCGATAAATTTATTTGAAAATTCCTGGATAACCATATTGGTTCAAAACATTAAATTCGTTAGCCACCGACTAGTTGTTATTTGCAATCGGCAACACATTATTATGTTGAGTTGTTCTCGTTATGTAATGTCGTATCACATTATAACTGTAACTTTTCTATTCTACTTTGTAACTTAGTGTTTTTATTTTGTAACACGTTAGTTGCACCTATCTAGTTTGTAAATTGTTCCATTCAAAATGCAAGTTTAAAATATTTGAACTACTATAATTTAGTACGAGATGAACGTTCCGAAAAAAATATAAAATTATACGTGTTGTATATTATTATATTATTATGATATTATAATTTACAAGGAATACAAATTGCATAGAAGTCTACCGCGTATACCACATATACCTAATATGTAACCACATGCACAAAGTGCTATATAGACACACAGTTATAGGTTTACCTAGTAATGTTATTATATATTATAATATGTACCTATTACATTGAGTGTATGATGCAGGCACACTGTAGTATAATATTAAATCTTTCAATCGTTAACCAGGGCCACCCTCAGATAAGAACCTAGAATTACGATTTTACCGTGAAAAAAAAAACCGAACAATATTATTCGGAACGCTATCGAAATAATAAGGTACTACTCTCATTGACATCAGTTAAGACAATAATCATATGTAGGTAATGATAATAATATTGAATTGTGGCGTTGTTATTAAAAACGCAATACTTGTTTTACCTATCTAACAATTTAATATTTAATTTTTACGCCCTTCTATTTGAGCCGCCACCCTCGGGCGACATCCAACACGGTCGTTTGGCCTACAGCGACGGCACTGGGCACAATATGCTGTTATGATAATATTATCATCCGTTCGCCCGGGCCGAGCGGTGAGCAATAAAATATAGTCGGCGAAAGCGAGAGTGACGGCGTTTGGGTACATATCGCTTAGGGCCGGCCGCGGAGCGAGTAGCTGCGGCGGCGTTGCGGGCGATGACGGTGACGGCGAAGAGCATCGCAACGGTTTGGTGAATGTGGGTCACCACAGATCGGCAGATAGCCGGCAGCCGACCTTGGATCACCGCCGCGCTTACGCACTGGCGGGTCCCCGCCGCGGTCGTCATTGAACCACTTACCCGGAGCGAGCGGTTTTAAAATTTCCCCTCGTCGCCGCCGCCTTGCCGGACGATGACCGCCGCCACCGCCGCCAAATATTATAATGATATTAAATTATGTTATTACTATTATTATATCATTGATCGTATGGAAGATAATATTATTTTACGCGCGCGCGTCTTGAGCATTAAAATTATTATCGCGCGCCCGTTGTCATTGTCATCGTATATTATCATATTATCGATAGTTACTGTATATATTATAATATCATCATCATATTTAACTAAGAAATATTATACGTTTACCTTTTTTCAGAATTACGACGTCCATGGAAATTAATGAATTACGATTACGACGAGATTACGGGAATCGTTGAATTACGATTACGAGATAAAATATTTACATAAATATGAATAATTAAAATATACTCCACGCTCGTTCTGTAAGGTGTTCCTGGGATACAACTACTGTCGGGGACGAAAGAGACGGTTTTCGAAATAGTGTTCAAAGTGAAAACGATAATGCACCTGTCTTCTACCTCCTAGCCGTGTACTAGCTACACATAACTACTTAACTATAAACTCTAATATTCAATAGAATTACAAAATGCCATGAAATATTATGTTATTTTGAAGCTCCATAGTGTACCCATACAAAAATGTTCACACCCACAGACGGAGTGGTTTTCCAAAGCGAGAAAAAATAGCTAAATAAAATCAACAGAACATTAGGTAGGACAGCGTCTAGGTTATACATATTATAATACCTAGTACCTACCATATAAAATAGTGCATTGGTACATTGGTGTAATTCACTTTTGTATGCGGTTGGGCATAAATGTATAATACATTAATATTGTGATCGATACGAAAATTCGATTAGTAGGTAGGTTATGCACTTAACGCCCGGACTTCATTAATAGGCGAATCCGGAAAACCCAACTTTGTGTGATCTCATACAACCTCGGCGCGTTTCGTGGATCCGCTGGGGATTTCGTGTAGCTTACAATTATATTTAGCATGGGTGAATATTTGACAGTAATAAACATTTAAATATTATTAATACAATACATTATTATTATTTCTAAATTTTTTTTGTTAGTAGTATATAGTATCACACGTACCATCAATGCAAATATACGTATTATATATACATTGTATATACGACAATGGGATAATGATACACGACCGATTAGCCTTAAATAGTAATAATATAGTAATTATAAAAACGATCAACGCCACGATATTATTATTTTACGGTGGTGATTTTATGACAATTTACCTGTGCGTTGAAATCTTCAAAGGCCGCGGTCGCTGCGACCAGCATAATGGTCGTTATAGTCACGACGCTGCAGCTCGTGCTGCTGCTGCCGGTGGTCCTCATGGTCGGCTTGTCACCACAATAACGTTAGATGTTTAACGGAAAATTCCAAATGACGCTGTCAGGACAAATAAGAAATCCCAACCCGATCGAAATAATAGTTATTAATTATTATAACAGTGATATTGATGCATTTATTATAAATATAATATTATTCTATCTATGTGTAATAGGTAATAATATAATAATATTCCAATGGCCATTAGATGCCAAAGCTTATTTATTTAACAATAATAATAATAAAAAAAAAATATTTTTTAATATTATGTCTGTAGAGTGTGTGATAATTATTATTGTATTTGTACTGTATGAGTGTGGGTAATAAAAACGTATTTTATTTTAAATATAAACGTGTAATAATAAATAATAAACACTTACGACGATATTGCGCGAGGGTGTGGATTGCCGCCCGCGAAACTGCTGCGGCGGTTTGAATATTTTATTTCGCGTTTCCGGTCTGGCCGCGGTTGCAGATTACTACGATAAATGAAACGTCGGCGAATAACGCGCCACTACCACGTGGAAAACAGTAGTATTAATATGAACTTTCTGACGATTATATATTGCGAGCGATCTATACTGGTATGTGTGGTCGAGAACAGTCGTCGCCGGTGTATATATTATATAGGTAATATTATACTGCCGCTGCTGCTCTGTTGCCGTTGCTGTTGCTGTTGCTGGCGCTGGCGTCTCCGGTATACTGTTGGTCGACCGCCGGTCCAGTCGCTGCCGTCGACGCGGCCCGCTGGCGTCGAATGTCTTTCGGGGGGACACCGCGTCGTTTTGGGGACGTATTGGTGGATATCCAGCACACGCTTATGCACCACACGGTCTTCTGCCCGCGGTCCCCGCCACCGCAAAAGTCGTCCCCGCCACGCACACTAATTAAGCCTTCACGTCGTCGTCGTCGTCGTCGTTGTCGTATTATTATTATTATGGCGGTACATAGTTAAATACCATATTATTATTATTATTATTATACCGCATATAGCGTCTGCCGCCGATTGGGCAACGGCCGGCCGATTACGAGACCGCCGCATCGGCCTCTCGGGAGGTTTGAATACACATAAGTAGGTAGTACATATATATATATATATATATTATTATATTTGTCAATACGCGCCGCCGACAACCACTACCTACGACGGCGATAATAATGTCACATGTTCGACGATCGATTCGGTCTAATCGAGTTTTGAACATATTATAATATTATGATATCGATATTATTATTAGGTGTGTGGGTACACCTATCATTATTATTATATTGGCACGCACATAACCGGGGTCTTCGTGTTTTCTATCTTGTAGAGTCCAATCTGCAAATACAAAAATTACATTTATCATAAGATATAGTACGTAGTATTACGACTATTTAGGAGTCCTTCAAGGTGACCATTAATTATCACCATTACTTTTTCTCCTATTTATTAACGATACCTATCACGTAGATTCATTAAAATAATATATAAAAATATTTAAATCTATATCAAATCTAAGCGATATAATGTATAATTTTGTTAATTTGTGTTATGCTCAAGGAATGTGACTACTTCACATTGATAAATGGGGTTCCGTTACTTTCAAAAAATAACTTACAATTTCAAATAGTTACCATGTTATAAACAACAAACAAGCAAGCTACTATTGAACGGCAATCTAAACAATATTACAAATAAAGCTCTATGAAGTTGCGGCTTTCTAAAAAGACATTAAAAAAATATCAATGATTCAAAAGCTCTATAATATGTGTCATCGAGGGCTCAGTGAACCTAACAAATATATTAATATTTAACAAAAATGTAAATTTGGGTAAAAATTTAAAAAAAACACTTGGTTTTCCCTCCCCCTTGATGAAGTTTGTAGCTATGCTCTTGGCGTATGGAGTGTCATTTATTACTCTACAGTTACCTTAATCTAAAATATGGTTTTTCTATCTGGGCAACTGATAGTAAAAAACCTCAGAACACTTTATAGTCCATTCAAAATAACTTACTTCGATTGTTATGATACTGTTATCAAATACATAGAAATAGACGTTCAGATTATAGCGATATTTTCTAATACATTTTAATATGAAAGCTTTAGATACGCATAAAAATGAACTACATTTTTTTTTACGGAAGCCATAAAATACCTACAATGTTTCAATGTATGTTGTATATTGTTCTGAATTCCTAAAAAATTGAAAAGAATCAATTTTAAAGCTACCACAAATCTGTCTTTAAACAAAATTGTTCTACTTAAATAATACTTCTTAGTTCTTATAATTATACTAAATACTCACCAGCAAATATTCTTATGCAGAGAATTTCTTTGGTGTACACTTAATCATCTCAAACAGTAATTATTTAAAAATGCACTAAAGTCTTTAAAATAAGTACTATTTTATTAATATGTTTAAACTTGAATTTTAGACAGTAATTATATTAAGTAATAAATTTATAATATATATAAATTATTATGTTAAATTAATGTTGTTATTTGTAATCAAATTATATGGTGTATTATTATTTGTTAATCATAGAATTATTGGATTGTGTAATTGAGTTGTAAGAGAAAAAAATATACAATATAAGTGTAATTGTTAAAGAACTTTACAGCTAGTAGTATTTTCAGGGGCAGATTTACGCACAGGCAAGTATCGCAAACATCTTTTGGGGGTGCCAATTTTCAGTAAATTTTTACTTTCTAGTATTTTAAATTATATTATTATATAATATATTAATGAAAGAAAATAAAGAATATTTATAACTAGCAAATGTTATATTTTAATGATATAAATAGTATTGATTATATTAAAATAATAATTAATAATATTAGATATTGTAATAATAATATTTTAAATGCATCCATTTCAAATATTTAAAAAAAATTCTATAAATTAGATATTATGATAAAAATAATAAATAATATTATTTAAAAATAGGCTGTTTTATTAATTATTACAACAATATGTGTATTATTTTTATGTACTTTTTTAAATGTTTTATGATTGTTTATAAATGAATTGTTTCACTCTTTTAATTTAGTAAACTGAAATACGGTTTGCTGTTGTAAATTATTTTTTTGTAAATGAAGTTTTATGAAATAAATGAATAAATAAATAAATAGTAGGTAATAGACAACGCTATGACACTGCCACCAGCCCGAGGGGCGTCATTTGGGGGGATCAGGGTGTGCAACGGCACCACTAACTTAAAAAATATTAACAATTGGCCCGCCATTAATACTCCAATACGCCGCCATAATTAGCATATACATTATGATTTCATACATAGGTAATATAAATAAAATATATATTTTTTCAAGTTTTTGTACATTTTTGGTTTTTTAGATTTATTTATTATACCTTATTTGCCTTTTTTAAAAATAATAGTAAAATGGCTTTAGCAGGTTGCTTTAATTGCTTATAAGCTTTTAATTCTTTGAATTGCTAGCTATTTGAAAGTTGCATTAGTCGTTATGAGTTTCAATTAGAATTATAAAAGGGAAGGAAAGAATATTTACATAGGTTTGCATAGGTTACCTACATTTATATATACAAATATATTTCTTTTAATGGCCTGGTGAAATTTCAAAATGTATTGGCTTGCCTAAAAGTTTGCATACCCAGAAAAAAACCAATTGCTCAAATTGCATATGCCTTGATACCTAACCGATAACAGTAAACTTAAACTGTAAACAATATCAAACATACTTTAAATGAGTTAGAATTTAAATTTACAAATTACGAATAAACAGCGGTACGCCTTTTTTAAGCATGGCAGGTAAAATAGATGGCATCAATTAAAAAAATCAAACAATTTACTCAAAATATTATTACTTATTGATTTATTGTTAATATTTATTTATTTCATTATTATCGTTGACTTGGTATGTATATACTAGTGTACTACATACATACAATTATTATTAAGTTTTAGTTTTATTTTAATCGATATTAAAATAATTTATAAACAAATAAAAGTCGTGTTTTTTATTATGGTTAGGTATACTAATAAGGCATGTCCGGCTCTGAGTACCTATGTTACTACAATATTATGTACTACTTGTATTACATTTATTTTTTATTACGGTATTCGTTGTGTGGGTGGTGGAAATATTTTCCAATATTATAATTATGAGTAGTAATAATATTATAACCTTGTTATCTCATAATTATATTGTATATTGGTATGTCCGTAAACTGAATAGAATAAAAAAAATGTAGACAATTATTATAATGTGTATCACATATCGGTGACTAACCTACCTAAAAGTACTGAACTATATTGTATACAACTAACGTAAAGATAAAATATATTATTAACGTGCGGTACAGTGACTATATATGTTTAAACTTTAAGGTAACCATACCTACAAATTATGATAATGAGTTTTTTTCGCAAATTATATTCTATATTTTGGCTTTGCGGTGATTGCTTTTGGCGTTTACGTTGCATTCGCACAGTGCAGTTATATCCATAGCTATATAACTATATAGTTCATTGAAGTAGTGCACTAGTGCCCAAATACGTATAATATAGTATACAGGTGGGCGTTAGAGAGAGTGAGAGTGAGCCGAATGCAGTTCTCGTCATGTTGCCGTGTAATAATCTATGTAGTTGTATCATTATAACATGACGTGTACCTTTCGAAGTTCAATAATTAATTGGGTTTTTTTTCCGGCTGTATAGTAGTCAATGCGCTAATATCGGTTTGTTCATATTAGTATTATTATTATCAAATTGTTTAACATTGAAAAACGTGAATTCTAACTAATAGGTTTATTAAGTAATATGTGTTGTGTGATTAACCTTATAACATATATTATAAGTTATAACTAATTTTCTAGACTTGGCATAATCATATATGCGTCTAATAGGTAGGCATATGCACATGTAAACTTCATATATACAAGTTCTAGCTCTATGCAAACTCACAGCGATTGGCTCTGGATAGCCATAAAAAACAGCATATATAGGTACTCATTATGTTGAATACTGTTATTTTTATAATACACTTCAGGAACCATCGCTGAATAAATAAAAATATTGTATTATAAGTTAATACTAAGCCACAATATCTTAACATTTTTTTTAAACACACAGTTTATTCATAATTATTTGTTTTCGGCTTAGATATATATTTATAATAGTTATAGAACTATATATAATTTATATAATAATGTACATGTCCTATTATAAAGTTCTATCTATAAAACCTTCATTTTTTTAGAAGGTTTTATGTACTATATTATGTAATATATTGAAATTTGCTAAATAATTCTAAGAAAGTTCAATGTTTATATTATTTATATTTTAAATCAGAAGAGATATACAAATAAAATTGTTAATTTTATAAAACAAAAAAAAAATATAAATGATACATTTTAAAACAATTCTTGGGTTCTATAGATTAGTGTAAAAAAGGAAGTTTTTACGAAAATACGAGTAGAATACATCCAATATGGTTTTAGAGGATCCTAGTAAAATCGAAACAATAGATAAAGATTACATGTCTTGATGCATTGAATGCATTCATTAAAATTACAACATTTAAACCATCTATATCATAAATAATAAACAATAACACTATAACAGTACTTGAGGTTGAGACGAAATGGTCAGCTATTAGAATCAAAATATAAATTTTTTCACTCTGAGAGTTGGAATAATTATGAAAATCTGTTTTTTATATAATTTTGAAATTTTTGGACTATGTAGAATCTAAATATGTATTCAGTATTCAAATTTTAGATATT